TGATAAGATTACGAGGCGACGAAACCTTTTCTGTAGAGAAATGAGTAAATTTAGCGGGTCATCGTTATTTCAATTGATATCAATTCTACGCAATATCGTTTTCGAAAATATTTACCATTTTCATTCCATCCATATTGTTTAAAGTAACTATAAAAAAACATAAATAAACATAAATTACAAAAAACTGATAGTTGGCCAATATCGAAAATGCATTCAGGATATCGTTGCATCGATAATAAGCGAGCTCAAGTAAACATTATACGAGAAAAAGACTTTTCCGTTCGTTAAACAATAATAACGATCGTCGCCAATGGCGGTGGCAGATGGCCACTATCGAGAATACGGTCTTGTTATCGGTTCGATAACGCTTTTAAACTAACACGCGACGAGCAGAGACGATGCCAGGTGGCCAATAACATTATCTCGCTTGCATGAACAGTTTCATCTCACTTGTTCCGACTCTTTCGTTGTATTATAATTCGCCCTCTTTTCGAGAAAGAGAGAGATGTTTCGACATTGAATAAACTGGGGAATTTTTTGTTCCAATTAATTCAACTTTAACCTCTAGTTTCGCGAGAAGTCAACACCGTTAGTCGCATTTAAAATGAGACGGCGGACAGGAAATCTATGTTTGACTCCAATCGACGGGCACTTGCTGCGTTAGAAGGGTAGGAGGAATTCCATGCCTTTCCGGCGAGAGCCCTTTAGTTCGATAGTTTCCAAGACATGCAGTATCTACGAAAGGTTTTCGGGAAAGCATCGCATCGAGGTCAGCGTGATCGCCAACCAGAAAGGAAAGACGATCCGGTTGCGATCTCGTTCGCGTTGAGATCGCGATGACTCCTCTATCTCGGAAAAGCAATAAAAGGAGAGCAATGAACAGACGAGGTTGGCGCCAACGCCATGTGGCGACCGTGCTTTGCTCTTCCCGGCTTGTTTCTCTCGAGAGGAGAGGACACGAGAAAAAGAAAGAGAATATATAGTAGCGGAGAAATGGCGTTTATTAATATTGCAGAATCAAAATCCAGTGTACGCCATTTGATCCTTACACGGAAAAGAACGATTTTGCTGAAATATCTAATAATTTAGGTAATAGATTTGAAAATAATTTTGTTGGACCATTAAAATAATTATATATATAGGAAATTCAAGCATGATTGCTTGAAAAGTTTTTTAGCAACCAGTTTGAGCGTTCTACATAATTATTTTGACAGTCGAACAAAATTATTTTCAGATCTATATATTTAGTTAAATTTTTATATACTTCAGTCAAATCGTTTTTTCTGTGTAGATTTCTAATCGGAAAATTATTATTAGCGCATTTTTCAATTATATTTTAGGCGTTATAAGTAAATGAATATTTTCTTGTTTTATTTTATATTTTCTTTCTAAATTGTTCTAATTAAAATGGAGTATTAGAATAATTGGAAAAGGATTTAAGAAAGACAGTTAATAAAAGCTTGCTGGTCGACTTCGATTTCGAGTAAATACGACGCCAGACGTCTCTTAAAGATGTTAACTGATTCCGATTCACAGTAATCGCATTCGGGAGAGAAGATCGATGTAGTAAGACAGAGAGAGGATGAATGCGAGAACGAGACAGAGCGAAATGAAAGAATCGCGCCGGCTGCGGCGCAGGCGATCCGTGATCGAGAAATCCGATGCATCCGCAATGCTTGTCGTGCTCGATCAATTGCCACGTCAGCGATCGTCGGCTCGTATGAATTATTGCTTCGATCGATAATGGTCAAATAAAATCGACCATTTCGTTTGCGCTACCAGATACCCGCGCATAAATTCGCCGAATAATTTACGTATAATTGCGAGAAAAATGTTAAAGTTCGCACGTGGCTCGTGCGGATTGCGGAATTTTACGTCTCGCGGTCGGGAAATGTGAGAAAGGTCGTGATATCGCAATCTACGCTCTAACGCCGGATAAAATTACGCACCGTCGTGTTTGTATACGTATTTATTACACAAACAAGACGGTTACGTCAGCTGGTTTGATAATTCGCGCATTGTATACGGTTTTGGGATTTTTAATTCATACACGCTTTTGCGAAACGCATATTTGCTCCAACTTTTTCAAGGATAATTAGAAATTTACAAAAAAAAAAAAAGAAATATACAGTCTCTGTAAATTTCTGGGAGTGACTCTCACTCCAAAAAAAAAAGTGAAAATCTGCCACTTATTCAACAGTGCAAATATTTTCAATACTGGCAGTATTTTCACTCGTGTTTGGAGTAAGATTTCACTTCAAGAAACTTAGAGAGGTCGCATTATCATTTCAAGGAAAACAAGAACCTAAAAAAATCTGATCGTATCTCTAAAATCGTTGCATATGATAAAAAAAATCATAGAAGTATGAGAAATCATTCTTGGCCTTCATCAAATGCATCAGATGCTGAAAACGGATGAGGTAAAACTGCTCGCGTAAGTCGCGCGATGACAAGCGTCTTCCCCGGAGATACTAAAATCAGCGAAATTAGTCTCCGCCTTGGAATCCGAGTCGGCTTCGGTCGGCGAAGCGGACGGGAGGAAAGGAGCGACGACGGCGCAAGTATATTATAATCCTCTCTTGCTCGAGCCGAGTCCCTGTGTGCGCGCCAGATGGTACCAGCTGGATGACGCATCAAAGCAGAAAACCTCCCGCGTGTCCGAAGCGCGGTTCCGCCCACGGAATCGCGAGGAAAACACGTGCGCCTCCGTTGCTGCCGCCGTCGCCGCCGTTCTTCGTCAGGTTGCGAATAGTCTCGTAATGCGAGAATTCGGTATTAGGATCTCGTAACGCGCCTACGTTACTAAAGAACATTATTTATATCTACATGTTGTCCGCACGTGGACATTGATGCCATACCTATTAAATTTTAATAGCGAATTCCTCGAGCAATTTATCTTACATTAATCATAATCTGATTGATTATATCAGTGAATGATGCAGTTTAGGATCGTCGATATCGAATAGAAATACTATAAATATAAAAATTATATAAGAAAAAAGGCTCAAATAATTTTTAAAAATTAAATTAATAAGAATAGGGCTACGAGCCGAGCAAGGTCTTAATATTATTAAACAACAAACAGAATATTTCAAACATCTTAAAGAAGTTCGTAAAAGTAGGCAAAAACCGCCTTGTAATCCTTTAGATGTGGTGTATAAAATTTCTTGTCTTAATTGTGAGGCAAGTTATGTCGGTCAAACGAAGAGACATTTATAAACATGAGCATTTTTCTGATATTAATAAAAAAAACACGGGATCTCCATTAGTTATTTCGGACCGTCATATGAATTTTAATCATAATTTTAATTGGAAGAGGTTAAAATTTTGGATACAGGGCTATCTTATAATAAGAGATTAATATCAGAAATGGTTCATATAAAGAGACAATCTTAAGGTTTAAATAAACAAATCGGAGTTCTTATCCGACATGTATCTTCTACGGTTGTCAGATCCCGAGCACCGTACGGCTGGAGTCCAAAGGTCCGTGCGCTGGAGATTTCATATTTCGACTGGAGGCCTGCCGATTGTTTCATTAAAAAAAAAGAGAAAAAAAGGCGCAAGGTTTAATTCATGTTTTGCGACTACTGTTACACAGACTTTCTTTTTGTCATTAATATTTGACCGACATAAAGTGTCAACACAATCACAGAGACCTCTTTATTATTATTACAATAATTACAAGATTACATACAGTGCGAACAGAATTACAAACTTTTTTATTATTCGTAAAATAACATAAACTGCGAACATAATCACAGACTTTCTTATTAATTTCCACGTAATTTAAGTATGCAATTAATAAATACCCTACGCGAGCGAAAAACTGAAGATTTTTCCCGTCTATTGGAGAATTGGAGATTGGTCCCGAAAATTCGAGTCGAAATTTCGAGATCTGGCAACCATGGTATCTTCCCATACAATGGTTGTCCCCTTCCTAACACCTTTTAGTATATCCCCTCTTTCACACTTTTCCTACCTAGCGTCTTATCGGATACTCTCTCGTTAAAATAGTCATTTTCAATGTATAACTCTCAGAGTAAATTTCTCTCATCTTAAAAATTGAGTTCCTTTTAGCAAGATAGCTCAAGACGTCGTTTTCGAATAATTAGATATAAAGAAATTTTACGATGGATTACAATCAATTCTTCAGGTACTTCTTATTTTTACAACCGTTTTTAAAATATGCAGATTGTTTTAATTTTAATGTAATTGTTTATTTTTGGCTATGTTCTATTGATAATACAGAATTGTTTTTACAATAATTTTTATTAGATTTCACTATTATATATTTCTAGACTGAAATTTATAGTTTTTTTAATTGTTGGGCATTATTTTGGTTACAAAAAACTCCGAGCTATGCTTTTGGCTACTTCCGTTTGACTCTACTTTAAGACATTTGTTGACGACTACAATAACGATTTAATAATCTATTTCTTTGGAATTTATTGTTCTTAATATTATAATCAGAACGATAATATTAGTTAATACTGAATTTTAAAATTTATATATTGTTAACATTGAGAATGATTCGATTGGGGTCAAAACGTATGTTCTTGATACAAATAAACTTTCTGTTTGTTATTTAACAATATAGCAAGACCTTGCTTGACTCCTTGAATAGTCCTATTGCTATTCTTATTAATTTACTATAAATATAGTCATCAATGCAAAAACTATTTATATTTATCTTGAATGAATAGGCATTATATCGAATATATATATGTATATATTCATTATATTTTTATATTCGGCGTATAAAAGAGAATAAAAGGTTAAAAAAATTGTGTGGTTTAATTAATTATTTCTTTCTTTCTTATTATCTTATACTATGATATTCGTACAGGATATCTGTAACTAGATCTGTCCATACTGTTTGAACTTTGTACACTCGGAATATTTGTGCTCTCTTTCTCTAATACCCAAGTATATCTCGTTTAAAGTATTGATTTTTAGAGATTTTAAGCAACACGAACCGATGTATTTTTTTCTATTTACAGCCGGTGTTATGGCGGGTTCCGAAAGAGATAGCGGCTCTTGCAGTAGTGTCGACGAGGACAGTAGATCGAGCCTGCATTCGCCTACTTCGTCTGAGGACAGTGTCGAAGTACAGGTAATACCAATTTCGTTGCGAAACAAGCGAAAACTGGCGGAGCCACGAAAAATCCAAGAACCTGCAGTCATCGCAGCGCCATTGAAGAAGAGACGGTTTGATCCTATTTCCGAGGAGACGACCGTGGATCAAGAGGAGACCAGGTCGCTGAATACACCGAATCCTTTTCGACCATGGATTCCTGCTTCCTATAAAAATGAATCCAAGACAATCGTGACTTCGTCAATGATAATGTCGACGAATACGACTTCCAATACCACGACAACAACAACTGCGACGTCGACGACAACGACATTGTCCAGCGAGAGAGAAGAAGAAGAAGAAAGGAGGAGAGAGCAAGATGAGACGACGCAGAGGCTGCACGAATCATTCAGAAGACTACAACATCCTTCCGGTCACAATCGATCAGCTGTTTCATCTCGACGAGAGTCTCGTCAGAGGTTGTTCGAGCCGGTAGCACCAACATCTGCAACGATAACGTCTCCGTCGAACACGATCTCTCTACCGCATCCTAGGCTGCAGGACGAGCCTTTATCTTTGGTGGTGAGAAACGAGGCACCCAGAGTGCCGTCACATCCCGCTGTAAGTGGCTCCTACGAGAAGACGCCATCGTACATGATGGAACACTTGTTAGCAGCTTCGTCCGATCAGAATCATCAAAATCATCAGACTCATCAAAGTCAACAAAATCATCAGAGTCATCAAGTGGCTCCCACGACATCGAGACACCATCATCAGGGCGGTCAGCAGAGAAATTACAAGAACATGACGAGGGAGAGACGGATAGAAGCGAACGCTCGAGAAAGAACTAGAGTGCATACCATCAGCGCGGCCTTTGACACGTTAAGACGAGCAATACCTGCGTATTCACATAACCAGAAGTTGTCGAAGCTATCTGTACTGAGGATTGCCTGCAGTTACATCATGACGCTGAGCAAGATTCTCGGTAAGGACGGCGAAGTGACGGCCGCAAAAAGTAACGGCCTTGCAGGTCTGAGTAGTTGTGTAGAGTTGGTCTCCAGGACCATTCAGACAGAGGGCAAACTCAGAAAGCGGAAAGAAGACTGAACGAATCACGTTTTCACCTGAACAACGGAAACAACATTGGAATGGTGGACAATGGAATCTATAACAGAAACAGCGGGAGATGTTCCGCACTGTCAAACGCTTATACGTCTTTTATTCTCAATGCCATGGTTGGGGGGACGGGAGAATGACGTAAGGTTAAGTAACCTAAGCAACTAATCATCGCCGGTTTCTATGCTAAGCGTATTAATTCGTGGACTATCGATTAGGAATGCGTTAATTAGAGTCGCGAGTCACGAGTGCGATAGAACCATTTTCGAAAGTAGTGACGACAGGATGAATTAAATTGAGTCTTGTTCGTGAAAAATGTACTCTCAATATTTTTTCGAGTAAAATCTCACTTCAAAAAACTTGAAGAGTGGCAAATCTTCATTTTTTTTTTTTTTTTTTAAATAAGATTTCACTCTGAGAAATTTAGAGAATAGGATAATTACTTGTCGTTTTACAAAAATTGTACATTACGCTTTTGAAATCATAATAAGCTTCAAATTTTAATAAATACTACTGTAGCAAAGAATTTCTCGCGACGCCCACAATGGGAATTCATCTACATACCGATTGCAGTTGCGCAACCAGACAATAAATTTTAGAAAGATTCTCATACTTAGATCACGCTTAAATTTACGACAGATACTGCTACAGAAACGTATCACGGAATTTACGATAGAGAGCGGCGAATGTTTATGTAGTAGAGTTTGACCATTCATGATAGAAGCTAGTCTTGAAGCTATTTTAACCCTTTTGAAATGGTAATGCCCAATACATATAATTTACTAATCCCATAAAATACACCCTAATAGCACACTTTATCCGGGATACATCCTGGGGATGTCCTTATGATGTTCAAAGGTAGGGTTGGTAAAGACTAATATGTTTTTTTTTATGAATAAAACATATTGTGTTTCTTCTTAAATATGTTTTTAATGCTTCAAATATGCTTTAAATAGTATACTATAAAAAAAACATATTTAAAACATTAAAAACAAGCATATTTTAAACTGTTTAAAACTCGTTTAAAACATGTTTTCTACCAACCCTGTGTAAGGACGTCTCCTGAAGTGCTATTAGGGCTATATTTTTATCAAAGAAAGAAATTTTATCATTCTTAAGTCTAAAGGCTTAGGACGCTCGCACGGAATACTGAGAGATCCGAATTCGACTCCCGACCAGATAATATTTTTCGCAATAAATTTATTTACAGATTTTCAGCACATTAAGATCTCTCTAATAGGATGCCTAATTGAGCATCAATTATTAAATTGCTTGTCAATTTAATTTGTGATATTACTACAGTAGTTCAGTTGCGTAAGTCCGAAGTTTAAGTCCGAAAATTCAATTCGGCGCGCAGTTCAAACGACTACATATATGTAGTATATAAATTCACACGGAAATATTTAAGCATCCAGTTTCAATCGTTATAGACTTTATCTCTTATTTGTTGTGTATTCACATTATACGGTCTTATAATAAATCGTTTATTATTAGTAGTATATATAGGCCGGTTCTGGACCACAGATATATACACCTGGCTGCCATCAGGTAGCGTTGGTGTCGCGATAGGGAGAGGAACTTGAAGGGGAGGGGAGGGAATAGAGTGAGGGAGCGCGTAGAGAAAAGAAGTAAAATGCAACTGCGGAGGAGGTAGCGGGAGATGGGGGTATCAAGTAAGCATTTTTTGCATTTTACTTCTTTTCTCTACACGCTCCCTCACCCTATCTCCCCCTCCCATCAAGTTTCTCTCGCGACCGCGACGCCAGCACCGCCTGGTGGCAGCCAGTTGTATATATTTGTGATTCAAAATCGGCCTATATACTACTATTATTGTTTATACTTCTTAAGCTCTCTCATAAAATGTAAATTCAAATTGAATTTTTATGCGTACTAATTTAATTAGTATACAATTTGTAAACAGTTCAATGTAAATTCAATTTTAAATGAAAAATTTCTTATTTTTAAGTAGATTAAGCTTAATTTAAGAGAGAGAGAGCTTATTAAAAAAATAATAAAATGAAATCTTTTTAAATTTACATACTCTTTTCCTGATTTATTATTATTTTTAGAAAATTACATTCGTAAAATCATATTTTTCACATTTTTATAGCAAAAATACAAAATCTATTTTTCAATCCTAAAAAAAATTATTTTCCATAAAACGTCATAATTTCCTAAATTTCCATTTTCATGACGATAACTTTATAGAGAATATTATAATAAATATATATTTTTCTGTCTTAAATATTTTTCGCGATTCGTTGCCTTTTAAAAGGGTTAAACGTGAAATATGCAAACGCGCCTCAGTTCGGCTAAGCAGATTCGTGTGTCACTTAGAGCGACGATTTTCAAGCTACGATTCATTGAAATGCACTTATTTCAACGAAAGGATAAAAGAATCGATCGATCGTCTGCAATCTGTTGAATCAGCTTATGACATGCCAATCTAGGATATATGCGAAAAAGAACGAATTAAAAAGGAAGACAATAATAATACTGCTTGTGAAGTTCTTGATACGGCGGTGAATTACGCGTTTACGACGAAACTATAAATGGTATCGTCCTCCTATAGAAATATGATAGTCAAGTAAAACATGCGTAATAAAAGTACGGTTATAACTAGATGGGATCTGTTAGGATTGTCTCATTTTCAGGAATACTTACTATTACTTTTCAAACTCTGGCACTCACTATTGATGATAAAAAACAGAACCTAATCGACATAAATGTAATTTTTAAATTTAAAGAATTGGTTTTAATATTATAATTGAATATTATTATAATATCGACAATTTAAAAAAAATATGTTGAATAATTTTGATTCCGAGATATATGTTGAATTGTTAACAAAAGGATCGTTGTAACAGTATGTTTAAAAAATATTCGATTGTCATTATTGCTATAGCAAGAGAAGGACGTTACTTGATCCTAAGATAATTAAAGCTAAGGCCTTATCTACAATAGTCGCACAATCCGTGTCGCAGGTTGCAAGCTTATTGTGACAGCCAATCTGATGCCAATATTAAAATTGATGCTTCATGCTTATGCGACTATTGTAGCTGAAACCTGAAAGAAGAGCAGTTAGTGTATGCTCACAGTCTTTTTGCGCGGTTCCATCGAGACTGCGTCTCGAATTTTGTAAATAGCGAAGGTAACGTTACGATTAGCGATTTATGCGAGTGTACAGTAATCGAATGTGTTATGTGGTGTGAGAAAGGAGCGCATTTGCACGTTGGCCTTATGCGACGATTCGATGCGATATCCAATATGTACCTTTCTATGTTATAAGATAAAAAAAAACTTCGAACAAAGTTCAAATGAAAGTGAAATTCAACAACGAAAATTATGTCTTTTTTTGTGCAATACCCTTCTTCAATCCCATCACGATTTTCCTCGTAACTATAACTACTACTACTTTCTCTACACTGAAAAAAATTTCTGGTTGAAAATGGACGAATCAGAATTTTCTGGTTAAATTTATTAAAATTCTAGTTGAGATAACAGGAATTCTGGTTGATACAATATTTCTGGTAAAATCTACTAGAATTCTCATTTTTACCAGAATAATTACATCAATCAGAATTCTGATTATCTCAACTAGAATTTTATTATAGTAGATTTAACCAGAAAATTTTGATTCGTCCATTTTCCACCAGAATTACTATTTAATCCAATCAGATCATTTTTCTCAGTGTAAAATTAATATTGCTCTCTATTTGCGAATTCCGCTCGTCAAGAAATAGAACAAAAATATACGGAAGCTTTTAATTTGTATCGCCTGAATGTACAAATTTTTTATTTGTTAGCTTAAATACAAAACTATCGGAAAAATCTATCTCGTTCTTCATCGTATCTTAACTTGAGATGTTTTACACCTCAGCGGCGAAAGAATGTGAATTATTGTAAAATATTATTTTGTACGGATATTATTTAACATATTTCTTTTCTTTTTTAATAACTATTCTTTACGAATCTTTAAATATAATTCAATTGAAAATCTGCAATAAAAAGGTGTTATATTAATTAAAATCTTTATTTTTTGGAAACACTATCATAATAAGCTATACTTAATTATTCTGTTTAATATTCGCGTTCTACTTACTTTTTCAGAAAACTGTGATTAAATGGTCATTAAATTCACATTCATAATATCCTCAAATATTAATGCATCGGAAAATTATCAATATAATATATAATATGTTATTAATTATAATAGAGACTTTAATTAGGATATAAAAATACTGCAATGGTTTTTATGTAAAAAAAAAAGAAGGTGTCCACATTCCCGAATTAATCGAACAACTCTAGAAACACGTTTAACGCAGACGACAATACGAGACGGTATAATACGCATCCGCACGTATCGTTTCGCGAATGCAATATCGGACAAAAATCTGTAGTAAATTCAAGCTGAGCGAATATTGCTCGGTTGGGCGTATGTGCATAACCAGTTACGGCTAGATTTCACGAGTTTGCCTAAGCGCCCGAGATGGAATCGCGGCTGTTATCGCGGCGACGAGGTAAAAGTGGATCTAACAGCAGTTTGTAAAAACGTATACAACGCACACGTGAACGCGGAATGTATTCAGGTGTAACAGCGCTGAACATCGTTGGAGTGGCAACGGGGATGTTCTCCAAGCGCGCACATCTGGCCCACAAAAGATAACGATATCGGCCAACAATCCGATTGTGTTACCTGCCACTGCACGATACACTGCACACATCGAGCACATTCGGTACGTATGTAACCGCTATACCGCGAAACCGCGAAACCGCGGTAGTTTTGCGCTACTGTATTTGCGGCGATCATAGCACAAGTTGTGATGCTTCCTTTCTCTATCCAATCTCAAATATTTTTGGTGTTCTTTCGTTTTCCTTTCGGGTTCTTCCAGGAATTTTTGAAAAATTGAGACAATCAGGATAAACAAATTCAAATAGAGTTCGATGTACTGCGATAGCATTAACGTTTCGTACAAAGAAAGAACATTTTTGCTGAATATCTAAAAATCTAGCTAGATACATTTGAAAATAATTGCATTGGACTATTAGAATAATTATAATATATAGAGGATTGCTCAAGCATATTGAGCGATGTTGTAAAAATATTTGACATTCTAACAATCTGAGTATCCTGTATAATTATTTTAATGAGCTAACAAAATTATTTTCAGATCTGCACCCAATTAAATTTTCAGATACTTC